GCACGCTGGGCAGCCGAGGCCCCGCCCCGCGCCACGCGGACTACAGCTCCCGGCGGCCCCCGCGCGCGCCGCCACCGCCGCGAACTTCCATCCCGGAAGCACACCCCCCCCCACCAACGATTTGCGCCTGCACCGTCTCCCTGGCGACAGGAGCTCTAAGTCTCGCGAGAGAGGGCGCAAGGCACGCTGGGGCATGGAGTCCTGTCCTCCCCGTGCCTGGAGGGGGCTGCGTGGCTCCGGGTGTCCCAGAGCAGTACCCCTCCCCACAAGGCTCCTCAAGGGGGAACGTGGGGGCAGGGCACCCCCAAAACCCCAGCCCAGCCACCCCCTCTGGGGCTCCCCCCGTCCCCAGCCCCAGCAGAAGAGCCCCCATGGGCTTGCTCCCACCCTAGCACCCCTGCCCTGGCAGAAGAGCCCTCCCACACTCCAGAAGAGGCCCCCCCCATCCTCCCCCCAACATCCCTAGCCACAGAGCCCGTCCCTGGTCTCCCCCACCCCAGCATCTCCGGCCCCGATTGAAGAGCTCCCCCCCATCCCTGGCTGTCCCCCACAACCCCAGCAGCTGAGTCCTGCCTTGTTCCCCGCACTCCCCTGCTCCAGCTGCCACACACCCAGGCCCATTCATGTCCCTTTCACTTTATTGCATATCACAAATCAGACAATTTAAAACTCCATCAATGCCAGAATCCAACTGGTGGGGGGTTCCCAGCTCAGCCTCCTGGGTCGGAGAGCACCCAGGGCCCCTGCTCCTGCCTCCATGCAAAGCCTCCTCGCGCTCCTCCAAGCCCCAGCTCCTGAAGTCCTGCAAAGGTTGCGGCTTCGGCACGCGAGCCGGTGGCCCAGCCCCTCTGGCTGCCGAGAAACAGGCAGGGGCCAAAACTGGCGGGCAAAATCCCGCACCCAGGGCGGGAGGATGATCTCACTGCGCGACGGCCTGACTCATGCCCTGCGCCATGGCCCACGCAGGGCCCTGGCTGCCCCAAGCTGCCACCCCGGCTCTGGTTTCATCACGCGCCTGTCGCAATCGCCGCAGGCCCAGGGTGCGGCTGCCTGCTGAGCCTGCCCAGGCACCTCCCTTGCGGAGCCGCACAGGGCAGGGGCTCCTCATGTGCAAACAGGGCTGCCGGCTTCGTTACCAGCACTAGGGAGCAGGCAGGCGCCTCCCCCAGGCAGCTCCTCCCAGCCTGGGCACGTAGTGCCTGGCTGCACGTCTGTCGAGGATGGCAAAGGGCACTTGGGTTCCTGCGGACGGCCGCACCCAGGCCCAGCCCTGCCCCATGTTGTTTACAGCACGTAGGGACCAGGGGCCGGACGTCCCCATGGTGCCACCTCGTGCACAGCTCAGCTTTCGGGACCCAACCAATCCAGAGGGAGCCTTGGAGGGGGTCCATGTGGAGAGGGGCATCCACCCCCACACCTGTGAGCCCAGCCATGCCTACTGACCGTGCCAGACCCCCATGGCCAGGGTGACAGGGAAACTGAGGCATGGCAAGGAGACCGGGCTTGGCCCAGGGGACCCAGGTATCTGGCTTCCCAGGCGGTTTCTGCACCCAGGCCATCAAGTCCCAGCCTCCAGCCACTAGCCCCAGCCCGGGGGTCCTCCATCACACTGCATGGGCTGGCGGGGGGCTCCCTAGGTGCGTGGGATGTCGGCTTTGGTGAAGAGCCGGCTGTGCCAGTAGTCGGGGTTGTCGAAGGCACAGTCCGAGGCCTCCAGGCTCCGCAGGGGCTTCAGGAAGCCATTGCGGGGGCTGGGCTGGGTCGGGCAGCCGCGGCAGGAGCCAGTGGAGGGGCCCAGCATGGCCTCCATGTCCTCGTAGCCCTGGTCTGGCGGGGAGCCCGGCGCGATGCCCGAGTCGCCCGAGCGCATGTCGGCATAGTCATCTGGTGCCGGCGGGCGGTTCATGTAGGCGTAGTCGGCATCAGGGCCGGGTGCGGGCGTGGGCAGGCTACCCAGGGAGGCGCTCAGCTCCGAGCCCAGCTCCATGTACTCATAGCCCAGCTCGTCCAGCGAGGCAGGGCGCGCACCCCGCGGCCGGTTCATGTACTCATATGCCTCTTCCTCGTCCTCCTCCTCCGGGGCCCGTGAGGCAGCCGTGTGCTCTGTAGGGCAGGGTGCAGCCATGAGGGAGGGGACCAGGCTCAGACCCCCCCATCCTTCCCTGCCACAAAGCCGGCGGGCCCTATGCGAGGCAATTTGGCCAGGTCTCAGCCCCAGCTGGGAGAGGGGGGCAGGGGGCAGCCAGCACAGCCCAGAAGCGGTGCCCGGGGTGGGGGGGGCACGGGGCTTACCCTGCCCGGAGCGATTGGGCATGACGTAGCCATTGGCATCCTCCTCGCTGTCAGGGGGGCTGTCGGGGCGCGGGGAGCTGCCACGGCGAGACAAGTAGGCGCTGTCCCCCCGGGAGCGGGGGCCACCACCTGGCCCCCCTGGCAGTGCCAGTGCCAGCGCCAGCTCGGGCTCGTCGCCCAGCTCGTACTCAGAGGCTGTGCCCCGGCCCTCCGACGACTCCGACAATGTCCGGCCCATTGAGTCCTGGCGGCAGCGCCGCCCAGTCCGGGCCTGGCAGAGAAGAAACATGGCTGGAGCACACCAGCAGCCGCCGCAGCCGCC